ATTACTGACGAAGAAAATTCTGTTAACTCAGGGCGAAAAAACCGATTCCCCCGAGTAGCAGTGATCACAATAAGTTGCGAATTGATCGGAGAATGTATTGCGATTTTCCCGACGTCAATTTATTGAAACATCATCGGATAAAAAATTGCGATAAATTACGGAATCGTCGCATCAATTTGCAATATAATCATATTTGTATCGACGGCGATTCATCGCAATATTATCGAACAAAAAATCACGAAAAACTAAGATTAAAGTTCCAATTTTATTGATCACACTGGAAAAAAACCAATTGGGTTCAAAGGGAAATCCGCTCAAATTAAGAGGCTGGGTTCTTGATTTAAGCTTAAATCTGATTGAATCAAGAGTATTTTTTCTTGTCGATGTTTTCAAGAGTGTGGACGCTAGATCCAATAAGTTTTTTTTTTCAATGCACGATTTTAACGGTATAAAATTGAGGATAGCCGCTCAGATGTTGATAATCCTGGCGATTTTCTCGTCAAAAAATCGTGACAAAATCGCAACTTACTTTCAAAATACACTACTAACGGGCTTTATATCTCGCGCGTTCCAGGCTCAGCGGCCAAAAGTTCAGGGCGTAGCACCCGGAGCAATCGAAGCTACGGCTCCAGTGTCCGGAACTTACGGACTCAGATTCCGGAACAGACGGTACGTCTAAGTATAGCCCGTAATTTTATGTCAGTGCGCGATTTTGGCGTTGAAAAATGGGACTTGTGTCGATTTCATTGATTTAAATAATTTAAAGAATTCGTTTTTTTTTAAATCGAAGGAAAATGCGCATCTTTACGTCATGCAACTTGGCATAGTACACGTGGCTGGGCGATGCGACGGTTGACAAGAGCGACGAGAACAAGATCATTAGTGATCCCGGGAGTGTTGACCGAATTGGGGCGTTGATTTTCAAAGAGTTGAATGAATCAAAGGCTTTTGTGGCTGTCGCATTACAAAGTTCAATAAACGGGAAACTTGGGGCATTAGCGGGCCGGGCGAAGTTTCCGCGCCGAGCCGCGCCGCGCCGGGAATTAAGTATAGACGGAGGCCGAGAAAGGAAGTCAGCGAGGAGGACGAGGAGAAGGAGGAGGAGGAAGGGTTGAAAGTTTTGAGATTTCACGCTCCTCGCGACTCACGACTCACCCTCGCGCTCGAGCGGTGATAATATACGCGCCGTAGAGCCCGCCGATAAACGCTCCGAGACATAACTGCCAAGTAGCCGCAACAAAATACTCTTGACCCTCATTCCTTCATACTAGTCTCTTCATGTCGAGAGAAGCACCATGAGGAATCTGCTCCTGAAGGCCCTGATGAGACTCATCTGGACCGGGTTAAAGAAGAGTCCTACATATTATTATGCCATAGATATGCCGCTACATATTGCCTGCAACTCATTTCTAACCGCGTGCTAAACGTATGATGGAGCTGGGGTAAAAAGTCAAAACGCCTTCAACTCACCGTGTATGCAACACGGATATCCATAGTGTGCGAATAGTTGTATCAACGCCTTGACCCAAATGTCGCTTGCTGCAGCTTGAGTCCCTTTAAAATGAGAGTCAAGACAATAGTGAATCCACTTCTGATTGGTTCCCGTATTTTAGGTCTCCACAGTGTCACAAACGGGAATGAAGATTACATTTTCTCCGATTGCAACGATTACAATCTGGAATGGACCAGATAATTACGGGTTTGGCGAGGAAAAAACGGAATGAGAGATGGAGCGGAGAAGGGAATTTGAGAATGGGCCGATCAAAGATTACGAAAAACTTTCGTAAGAAACGAAAATCACTAGAAAAGTGCCGCTGCCAACCTGTGCATTTGAAATATTAATCGATCGGGCCGAGAGCACATTATAAACAAGCGTTTTTAAGGAGTAAGACTTTGAAACTGAGACAATTTATGCGGAATCAGAGTTCTTCCCGTACTTTTATAATTATTGATCAGTGTACCTACTCTCGCAGTTTAAATTAGTACCACTGGATAATTCGAGTTCATAGGTTGGCTGCCCTTTTACACAGGAATGTGGGAATGGGTTGTTCAAAGATTTAAAAAAAAACGTCCGATTTGTGTAATCATTATTCCCGTTTGTGACATCCATAATCCGCGTTGTCTCAACCCTCTCTATAAAGGGACTCTAGGCCAGGTTATAATTAGACGATCTACTTTTTTACACGAAAACGAACGGTTGTGCGGATTTGTGTGAACATTTCATTGTATTTACACCATGGTCTAAACATTATCAAAGTAATCCGCACAAACGTTTTGTTGTAAAAAAAAATTAAATGGCTCCGTTTTTGGCGATAGCTGATGTGATTTGGTTTTTCTGCTAAACGCGGTCCGCGAAGGCATGATCTTTGAGGTCCTTAAAATAGGAAACAGCCTGTAATACTTGAGTAAAGATTGTCTAGCTTTTCCTACAGTCTAGCAACCTTGATATGGGGTTCTGGGAAAGGGAGCTCCTAGTCGTAAGACTCCACACTGAAAGCCTTAGCATCATTATTCCTGTAAAAGGAAGCTTATGCCCGGCTGCCCCTAAGAGCGCCTTACGTGGCCATGGGTTGGCCATCCCAGCATCACCGCCGCACAGTGGATCGAGTCGATTAGAGAGGTCGGTCATGACGTTTTTTAACTGAAACTGCAAATTTTCATGTTTAATTCGTCAAATTTCAATGCTTAAGTGGTGCCTTTAACGGCAAATTTCACGAGGAAACCAATACAACCACTTTTAAAACCTCAGAGTTGTGTATGAACGAAGTTATACGCTTTTAAAGTGTCCAAACTTTGTCCGACCTCTCTCATTGACTAGATCCACTGTGCACCACGCCGGATGAAGCTATACTTTCAAAAGAGAACTAATAACACTGTATAGTTGGGAATGAAGTGAATAATTATCAGAAGATTCGAGTGTGCGGGCAAAGCATCCGCTCAGCCGACTCCTTATAGAACATTTCATTCTCTGAATAATGGTGAGGCGGACATAATTTAAATCGTGATTTTTGAAAGTCGTCTTATAAAATGCCCAGTAGGAGTCGTCAAAAAGTTATTTGTGCTACTGTCAGCGCAATTTACTGACTTTAAGTTATACACAATTTAATATTAAAATTTTGACAGGAAAATAAACTGAATTACGTCAGGAACAATGGATTAATGCCGAACACTTGCTGCATTAGAACGACCAATTTTTTTATTTTGTGTGAAACTGAGCTCTGGAAAAAATGACTTCGGACGGACTGTTATGCAACCACCAACAATGTCTAAAAGTTCAATGGACCACTGTAGGGCCGTTTGTAAGATCTCTTGTCAACCTCTGGTCACCAAACCAGTGGTCAGCCTCTGAGCAGCAGTCAATCTGCTAACCAGCCTAACTACTGGTTTGCGAGAGAGAACAAAGGCTGACTTGACTTGAAGAAAACCGCGAGTCATACACATCTATATCTCTGGTCAGCGTCAAACCAACAGTTTGACAAGCACCTGACCAGAAGTCTTACATTCGGCCTTAAACGGGCTGAGAAATAAAGGATCACCAAGTATGAAACCTCATCATAATTTCACGCCGAGTGTGTTGAAATATTGGAAAAATTCAAAATAAACTGAAAAAATGAGGAAGTTGAGTTTACATTCAAATCAAAGATTTCGAACTACCCGTTCACGAAAAAATCAAAACCAACGCCGCGGTCAAATCGATTGTCTAAGTGCACAATATGATGAGAAATTGTTAATTTTTTGTTCCGCTGCTTAATTTTTGCCCCGTTTCGTGGTACATTATGTTCTACCTTCAGAAAAAAACACAAAACGGCGAATCAGGAGGGATGGAGATTTCAGTTACCATACAAACAACCTAACTCGCGTTTTAAGCGCACGAGGCTCTGTAAAGTTAAAAAATTTACAGTCGTTGCACTAAAGCTAGTTCATACTTTTTAATTGGGCTGAAGTTTATTTCCGTGACCGACCTCCGTTGATTTGATGGACTCATGCCATTGTTTTTCTTCTGCTCGGACGAGGCGTAGCGCGGTGGATGAATTCGTCGCTTGCCTGACATAAGGGCGTATCTACACATTGAGATGAGCCCGGAAAAGCATTGAGTTATATGGACAACAGAACTCATTGTCAAGTGTAGTTACGTCCTTATGTCAGAAAGGCAACGATTTCTCTCATGCCTGCCGGCTACATTCGATCCCATGTTGTGTTTATGACATTCAGTGGCGTGAAATTTTTCATGAAGGGGACTACGGTTAAAAATGTCAGATGGGAAAAGGGGGATCGTAAAGTAAAAAAGTTCTATAAATCATACGAAATGAGTTTTGGATGGAACATTTTCAAGGATGGGAATGAGGGGAGGGTCCAGACCCCCTGACAATAATGTCAATATGATTTTACATACGGACTAAAATATGACACTTGGACCAAGTCACTATTGCTTATATCACGCGTGGTGGACGTAAACTACTGGACAAAACAGGTGTGCGAACAAAAAATCGTTGACGGAATGCCCTGAAACCCTTTTCCGAAATCCATCGAATTTCTTGTTATTTTCCAGTTTTTACTGACGGTAGACGCCCGTTTGTTAAAATAAAATAGAAGCGGAGATTTTGAAACACCGCAACGAGATGCGCGTTTTTGCAGTTTCGCCGTCGATATGCGAGTTAAAAACACGCACTTCGAACAGCAAAAATTGAAGCGTTGGGAGCAAATAAGCCATTTCTTGTTTATTGTCTTAAAATCTCAGCTTATTTTCACCCATTATAATTGAAGCAAATGAATGTAATTTATTGTAACTTTTACTGGATACTCTATATGCTTTTACATTACTGAATAAGTAAAATTTCAGAGAATTCACCCAATGGCTGCCCCTCTAAATAAGAACTAGCACTGGAGATTCTGGAACATCGCAATCAAGAAATGCTCTTTTTGTACCCAACGCCTCGTTTGTGAGGAGTGCGATTTTCTAAGGAATGGTAGCTGCATTGTTAAAAGGTGGGAAAGCTTACCTTTAGAAGTGAAGCTAAAAGATCTGAGCCGATACGAGTCCTGGTCCGGCGGTGAATCGTCCGATTGATTTGTTGGTACATCCAAGAAAGCTGTCGACTTTCTTTGCTGACCGTGATACACTGAGTTTACCCTCCGCGCGCTACCCTTTCGCCGAAACCCCGAAGGAGAGTCTGTTACACCTGAAACAAATAAAAATATTTTCTTACTTCCTAGTCCAAAACATAAGAGTATAAAATGGATTCAGTTGTGGAATCCAAAAGAATTAAACCATAAAAACACGATTATACACTAAGAAAAACAAACAAGAAAAAACATGCTACCGAATCGGAGTTCAGAGAATGGTCGGTAGTAGCATGAACTTGACGGAAAAGTAGTGTCGAGGGTTATCCCCTAAAATTTTGGTGCTACCAAATTATGTTGGATGATATGGACATTTCCAATTTTTTGTAGTGGTACCGCAACATTTGGGTTCGTGACGCAATTGGAAACATCCATATCTCAAGACAACCCCGTGCTCTTTTTTTCCCGTGTTATAGTGAAAATATCCCGAATGTATTATCTAGGGTGCAATTTTACAGATTGAGCATCGAAATTCGGTTGGGTTCAAATGAACCACAAGACAGGGTACGAAGTTGGGCACTACAATTTATACTTCCTTGTCAGAATTTTTTGAAGATTGTGATGCATTGGAACTTTCCAAAATGGACTGCATTTTGCAATTTGGAACTATAAATTCTGGCTCATCTGAAAAAACACTTATGTGCATAGGGAAACTTATGGCACATACGTTGTTTTTACACTGGGCTAGATTTATAGTTCCAAATTGCAAAATGTAGTCCAATTGACATTATTATGAATCAGAAAATAGCAGTTTTTTTTTCTACGTCGATTCACACTTCCCGCTCACAAGTTAAGTTTTTTTTTTTATTTTGGGGAATCCTGATTTTTCCTGATTTTTGACTGCTAAATCCTGATTTCAAAATTTTAACAAATCCTGATTTTTTGCGGAGAAAAATTAAAATTTCTGCATAAGCGTATGCGAACGAATAAAAAAATCCGATCGGACAGCCGACTTTTCTCAAATCCTGATTTTACGACCGATTTTTCCTCAAATCCTGATGAAATTGGGATTAAATCCTGATTACCCTCAAATCCTGATAGAAAAAGAAAATCCTGATGCTGAACACCCTGAAAAATTGGGTTGAAAAACTTAGTCGCTACATACTGCTCTCTTTGATAACACGGAAGAATGGGGCAGTAAGTAGCGACACTGTAGATCTGCATCAATGAAATCACCTCTCAAGGCACAACTTCAGTGATTCGCTTTCGAACGGCGATCGAAGGACAGCCGCGGTGTATAATCACGTTTTTATTGATAAAATAAATCGCCCTCTGCGATCTAATTAGGTAGCTCCTCGACGGAATTAAATCTGCGAGCGCTGCTCTGCGGGGGTGCCCCAGCTGCGGTGACTCGTCAACTTGCGGTGTCCTCGACTTGCATCTGCTGACCTTCCTTCGTGGGAGTCGGGACTTCGTGACCTATCGCCGACGCTTAATCCCGCTAAATCGCACCCGATCGATTTATCGCCTCGGCTTTGGAACCTCGGGTCTCGCGTCAAAATGGACCGATACACTTTAGTTTTACTTCGAGCATCGAACCAGAGGTGCAGAAAATGCTCGATCACGCGTCCAAGAGCGCGTGAATATGTGGAGAAGCCTTCAAAATTGTGGAGGGAGCACTGGAAAAAAAACACATTGGATCTAGAGTCCAGGCTCTTAAAAACATCGACAAGAAAAAATACTCTTGATTCAATCAGATTTAAGCTTAAACCAAGAACCAAGCCTCTTAATTTGAGCGGATTTCCTTTTGATTTCAGCTTAAATCTGATTGAATCAAGAGTCCATTTTCGTGTCAATGTTTTCAAGAGTCTGGACTCTAGATCCAAGGTATATTTTCTTCCAGTGACGGCCAATTTTCAAGGGTCATTAGTCAGGGTGTCTACTAAAACAGGCTGGCCAAAAATCAATACTTTCACATCAGAACTTTTTCAGGACATTCCCAAAAAATTCAGTACCTCCTCAACAGAAAAATTCGGAACTTTTACAGTACCTCTATTTAACGAAATTCGAAAAATTTCAGCAATTTGAATTTCTCACTCAAATTACGACAAAAATGCCAAAAAAAATGAAACAAATTTCCGTACTTTTTCAGTACTTCCGGTCCGGACCGTACTAAAAAATCAGTGCTGTTTCCGGACTTTCCGGAAATTGCGGACTTGTAGACAACCTCAACGAAAAACAGAAAAAAGGTCATCTTTTTTCATTTGGTGGAAAATCTTGTGGAAAACCGATGAGAAAAATGTAGACAGCCAGCGGGCGGGCGAAAATGTAGTAGTTTGGAAAGATTCTGCACCCTTGGATCGAACTTGAATTTTTGTAATCTCGGTGCAGGTGACCACATTCGGTCGGGATAACCGAATGCGTACTTGAGCTCCCATTCGGCACGCATCGTCGAGACATCCAAGATGGCGTCCGAAAATATCCCTCCCGAAAGGCCCGGGTTCCACTTTTGACAACGCTGCACAAACGGTGCAAAAGCTTCTTGACCACGGGACCGGGCGGAAAGAGATTGGTCGCGTGTGAAAATGGTGAGGCCCCGAAAACGGTTTGTACAGTGGGAGGGCCGAAGTAATCGCGGTTGAGTGCAATATCCCGATAAAAATAGCGAGTTTTTCGCCAAATCGCAATTTGCGCGTAGAAAGGCATGAAAATTGAAAAGGTCATCCCTTCACTGAAAAAAAAAAAACACATTGGATCTATAGTCCACACTCTTAAAAACATCGACAAGAAAAAATACTCTTGATTCAATCGGATTTTTGCTTAAATCAAAAGGAAATCCGCTCAAATTAGGAGGCTTGGTTCTTGATTTAAGCAAAAATCCGATTGAATCAAGAGTATTTTTTCTTTTCGATGTTTTTAAGAATCTGGACTCCAGATCCAATGTGTTTTTTTTCCAGTGTTTGAAATATATGAGGAAAAAGAGGTTTTTAAAATGGGGAGGACAAGGGCTTTCTGCATCAATGGAGCGGTGCGTCTATCACGATCGATGGTTTGAGCTGAAACCATGCTTCGCAGCAGAGAGATAGCGCTTTAGAAAGTGTGACCGCCGCGGAGGGGACATTTAAAAACGCCGTATTGGCTTTCTCAGCGATGCGGGGCTTAAAATACGTAACTTTGAACACGTTTGTCGGGAGGCAATACTGTCAAAAAAATCTAGGAAAATCTCTGAGAACTGAATGTACTCTCCACTTTTCAAAAACGCAAGAATTCCAAGTTATCGTTCCCGCTGATTTTTCCAAAAGGGACCACCCTCAGCCCCTTCCTTCCTGGCTGCCGGAGGTGAAAATCGAAGCTGAATATTCTCAATCTGTAGCCCGTCATTGTCTGAGTTGGAAGCGAGTTTGGCGGAGGAGGGCTCTGCCCGATGCAGCTCCGAAAATAAAGCGCCGCACAGTGGAGCAAATCGATGAGAGAGGTCGAATATGTTGCGAAAGCTTCAAAAGATTAAATATTTGTGGTGTAAAACTTAAAATTTTAAAAAGAAGGTTTCATTGGTTTTCTAGTAAAAAACTCCTTTCAAAATCACTGGGTACTTAGAATTTGTGTTGAGATATATAAACATCAAAATTTGCAATTTTCTGAAAAATTTCCACGTCAAAGTTTTATCGACCCACTCGCTTCACTGTGCGCCGAGCGTAGAGAGCACCCGTCCGTCGTGACTCATCCAAGGTTTGCCAATTTTCGCTCCTACGGGTTCATCCTAGCACATGGGGTCGATGAGTCATACCCTCGTGCTACGTCAAATTCTCGCAAAGACTCCCAATGCAAAAAGAAACTAAATTACCCCGCCGAAATGGTAGGAGGCTACGGGTTCATCCTAGAACATGGGGTCGATGAGTCATACCCTCGTGCTACGTCAAATTCACTGGAAAAAAAAAAAAAAAAAAAAAAAAAAAAAAAAAAAAAAAAAAAAAAAACACATTGGATCTCGAGTCCAGACTCTTGAAAACAATGACAAGAAAAAATACTCTTGATTCAATCGGATTTTTGCTAGAATCAAAACGAAATCCGCTTAAATTAAGAGGCTTGGTTCTTGATTTAAGCTAGATTCTGATTGAATCAAGAGTATTTTTTCTTGTCGATGTTTTTAAGAGTCTGGACTCTAGATCCAATGTGGTTTTTTTTCCAGTGTTCTACCAAAGACTCCCAATGCAAAAAGAAAATAAATTACCCCGCCGAAAAGGTAGGTGACTCGTTAGGTGGCTTCCGTTGAAAAATCAGCAAGTCGAGTGATGGAGAGTCGAAATACGGAAAGGAGATTGCACGGACTTTTCGCTGCATTCAAATTTTCTGATCGTTTTTTGTGTCGACATTTTTGATATGCGCTCCACCTAGCGATGGTGGTCTCTTTCTCCATGGGACAGATAAACTAAATTTTGCAATTCGGGACCAAAATTTGTGGCTCATCCGTAAAACATTTATGTCCACAGGGAAACTGATGGTACATATGTAGGGTACAAATTGAGCAGAAATTAAAATTTCTAATTGCAAAATATACTTCAAAATCGATTATGAAATTGTAAAACCGCGTGCATCGATAAATGACTTAGCATACTTCCGATCATATTAATTTTATTAAATGGAACATATTCAACAGGCTTCCGAGGGTATTCTTCTCGGTGTGAAGTATATATTCTGAAAAATGTCAAGCAATGGTTCGTTTCCCTTCGACAAAATAAAGCGAGAGCGAAGATTTTGAGATGCCGCAAACGAGATACGCGTGTTTCCAGATTCGCTGTTGAAATGATACTTGTAATACTGATTGAATTAACGGGATGAATTTGGTTAAATGTCTCCGTCCGTGTGACAAAAATAACATTACATTTCGTATTTCACGCAGTTTAAGCTCCCTGTTATACCTATGTAAACTGAGTGATTTTTTGAAAAATATCAACACCTCCCGACCTCCCGGCCCATCCTTAAGGTGTTTTATGTATACATATAATCGCAAACACTTACGCATACCAGCGGGCCGATTATTGAAACTGATGGACAAAGCGATAGACAAAGAAGACATAGGGAGTATGGAGCGATCCTATTGGTTGACATGGCTGGTTCT